TTCTTAGCAGAAAATATGACCACATAGAGTAAACAACTAAGTGCTCTTGTTTTAGTATTTTTGTTTTTTGTTTTTTGTTAGCTTGCCTGCCAAGATTAGGTCAGGTTCAAGGCAACTAGACAAGCCTTACGCTCTATGTAGTTTTATAATGTGAACTCCAAGCAGATGTGTTAAGAATGGTAAAAATACTTACTGTTAAATACACACATCTAGAAACACAGACTATAATATCAAAAAACTACTATCTGTGGATAACCAAGCACTAATTGCTACTTCAGAAACTGAACTGCAAGACTAAATAAATTATTTAAAACAAATTTGCAAAGAGCATAACATGAAAATTAACGCCCAAAAAACATAGGCCAGACTATAGCCAAAGTAGCAAAACAATAAACATCCAGCTTACAGAACACCCTCAGAAACAGACCAAAAACTTCTAATACTTAAGAAGCATAATATCATCAGCTGGCAAAACAGAAAATGTGAATGATGACAGATTTATCAAAGGAAACCAACTCATTGGGAAAATGGCACTAATAGTAAGCAACAGACATGTATCAATAGAAACCAAAAGAGTGCTCTATGACAATATTCTTGCCAACCCTGTGTTACCAATGCCAGATCTGGACAGTGACAGAAGTAGAGAAAAGAAAAATTACAACTGAAATGAGATCAATATAACAATAACAGATAAGATCAGGTAGGATAACATCTGAAGGAAAATGGGAGCAGCAGCAGCTCTGGATTTGGAACTTATCATGATAGTGTGTGCATGGCGAGAGTTACATATCGTCCCATTCATTTCACAGCCGATCACAGAGTCTGTCTTACACTGTGTGCTGTATCAGATGTAGCCACTGATTCCGTATATGCCCTGCCTTGTTTTTCTGTAGCATGCTCATTGAGTCGCTGAGAAAGCATTCACTGGTGAATTCCTGAGTTTTCAGCCATTCTAGGGTCTTTGTCGAAGTTTTTAACTCCATTGTCATGCTCCAGTGTCTTTGATGACTTTTCCTTTAGTTCTTGCTGGGAAAGCCCATGCACTTCGCTCATGACGAATCATAAAACCATCTGTAAAAATCACAGCATCTTCCAGTATATTCCTTCACAAATGTTTTAACTTCTGCATCAGCTGTTGATGGTGTCTATTCACGGCATTGTCTTGTCACGGTGATAACCACCAAAAAGTACTGTTTGCATATACGTTTGGTATGGGTATCCATTCCTCTCCAGGCTTTAATGTCTTGAAATCCTCCATTGAAGTACCATCTTTGCCCAGCCAACCAAGACAGGCCTCATTTAAGTGTGTTGCCTTTACGTGTATTCAGTTCATCGTGTAGTGGATGTGTAAAGACCTCAGTGATTTTGAGGTAGTCACACGCTTAGCGCATTTCAGGCCTGCTGTTTATATCTGGAAAATCTAGTAGGTATCTCATTACTCTAATGATGTGTCTTTGGTGCAGCCATGTATGATGTGCATTACATCATTGTGTACCTTTTCTAGTCTGTTGATTTGTGTCTTGCTGAGGGTGAGAATTGCCATTGCATACTCTGTGAGAGAGAGGAGCAAACCCTGAAAGAGGATGACCAAAAGCCTTTGTTGACCACACTTTGTTGTCACTTTAAAATCTTTTTAGATATCGTTATTGTTATAAAAATATTAGTTGCAGCATGTATCATTTTAAAGTAACAACTGCTTCATATACAACAAGTAATTACTGTATAGAACTGGAGGTATGAGAAGCATACCAATCAGTGGGCTGGAGGCAACTTCTGGACTCCAGAGCTTGAGCCATCACAAGGAAGAAAAGGTGCTTACCCTAACAGAAAAATGTAAATGCATTAACAACCCCATACACAGAATAGCAAACAACTTAACTAAAAACCGACTGAAAAGACAAAGCTTTCACCATCTATCAAAACTGTACTACATTTTTTTTTTAAACAGTGACATTCTTTCTAAAAAAAACTTAAACTTTGGAAATGATCCTGGCATACAGCATAGACCTACAGCCTAACTGTACAGTCACAGCAACAATGCCAGGCATAGACAGACCCTTGAACATGTCTACAACTCTTACCCAAAATCTGAATGGACACACGCATACACCGATGGATCATTGGAGGGAGCAGGAAAAAAATGGAGGAGCTGGTTTGGTCATCATGCTGAAACAGCTTTGTACTGACTGCAGCTGAACAGTGTTAGACCTGGTCATACTTATGGTGACCATATTTACCCCTCACCCCCACCAAAGGAAAACTGAGATATTATTTTGGTGTGGAAAATTGTTTGTTTCTTCTAACAATTATGATGTGATCATTATGTCATAATAACCTTATAATAATATAACTTTGCTCCATATTGCTTATGAACTAAATCACTTTTGTGTTGCTAAAAGGAATGGAAGCTGTTAATTCTTGCTCCATTTGTATTTGGTAGTTTCCTACTGTTTTGAACACATGGGGAAAATGCCGGGATCCTGGCTTATAATGTGTATGAAGTGTTTCAGAATAGGCACAAAACAGTGGTGGTGGCACTGTATCTAGAAGATGTAATTAACAGGGTTAGGTATGACGCTTTACTGTACATACTAATGGATATGGAGGTAAATCCCTGGATAGTCAACAGGGTTGCAGCAGTTCTGTATGAATGGCAGACTTTCAGCTAGGCTGATAGAACTCCGAACCCTGTAGTATCACACCTTTCTCCGATAGGTGTCTGCTATTTCCCTAGTGCTTTTCAATATGTACACATGTGCTTGATAGTGACAATGGAGGCAGTCGTTATAGGATGAATTTTTACTTTTGATGACACTGTCTTAATTTACAGATAGGGAAGAGATAGAGTAGAGATAGAGTAGTGGTAGACAAGATGTGCGAGGAAACAGGTATACTCTCTTAAATCCTATTGAGTCCCTAGAGAATATTTGTTTTTAGAGGTAGAATTCTGTGGATTCCAGGGTTCCATTTGTGATTGGAAGGGGGGGACCACTGCCCTCAAAAGGCATGTTGAAAAAAAAGCCAGATTAATAATGGGTTTTGCTGAAATTGAATTGTTGGGCTGAAGGGCACAAATATCACAGCAGATATAAACGACAACACAGCGTGCCAACCATCTTTTTAATAGCCCATGTAGAAGAACAAGGATAAAAAGAATTCAATAAAACAACGAGAAACTTTTTCTTTATTTTGTCAGATTATATCTCAGTCTGTCACTGCAGAGCAGTGTGTCTGGTAACTTTAAACTTTTTTTTAAATAACTTATTTACATAAATTAACATTTGAATATACTTTGTATTATGTTACTAATATTTATTTCTGTGAGTCCTAGACAATCGGTAGGCAGGCCAAACAATTGCTTGAGGCCTCAGAGATTTGGTTTTACAGAAGAATGCTTAAAATATCTTGGACAGCCAAAAAGAGCAACCAAGAGGTTTGAAAGAGGCGGGAACTTGAAGACAACTAATCACAGACATCAGAAGGAGACATCATTTTTTGGCCATGTTATGAGAAGAGGGAAAATGGAACATGTTGTGACCACTGGAAAGATCTGTGGAAGGAGGGATAGAGGAAGACAATGAATGAAGATTCTTGACAGTCTTGTTGCATGGAGGTGTGTCAGCTCATGAATTAATACATGCTGCAGGAGATCGCAGATTGTTGAGAGGCATGATTGCCCACGCTAGTCAGCAAGGCACTTGATGGTGATGATGATTTATTTCTATTGTCTGCAATGTTTCTACTTATTTGGCATAGTGTATGTTTGCAACCGCCTTGCTGGTAGACTGATCACAGATATTTGTTTCTCACTGAGAAAATATCTTGTAAGGGGTAAGTGCACTCAGTTTATGTTTTAAACCTGTGAGAAATTAAACTGGGGGTTTTCAGATAAATGAATTTTCTTTCTTTCACAAACATGGATGTTTAATGGACAAATTCATGTCTAGAATGAGAACCATCATCTATTACCCTCCATGAAGCTCCCAGCTTCTTCACCTATTTCTATCTATGTATTTTCTTTTAATTGTAGATTTGCAGGGAAGCAGAATCTGCAGTATTTCATAAGCAGCAGTTTGAAGACTTGCGTAGAGAAACCCCTTTATACACAGATTCTACGCACACAACTGCCATTGCAGCTGTTGAGGCATCATTCACTTGCATGGCTGCAGCTATCATTGTCATCACAACCACTGGCAGGTAATGTTTGTTCATTATATAAAATGTGTACTTTCATTAATTTTTTTTATCTGTTCGCAACAACAAGCCATATTTTCATCATGCACATGTTCAGATCAGATAATGATCTTTACTTGCACAAAACTGCAGGCTAAATCAGGCTGTTATAGCCATTATGGGTGTTTCAGTTATCCCACTGACTACCACGATCACACATTGTATGATCGGCCAATGTTTACACCTGACTACCATTATTGCACCTCTCCCCCCTCCTCTTTTGTGATTTTAACTTTGGATGCTTGCCATTGTGTTAAAATCATGAATTTTGCAATGAATTTAGTTGCAGCTTTTAGCCCATTCATTTCTCTGTTTCTTTAAAGGAAATAACTCTGTGATACTTGGGTTTCATTTTTAATGAATTTTCATGGTGAGTTGCCATGTCAGTTTAGGATTATTTCAGCCACACACAAAAGAGGAGTTATTTTGGTGTCAATAGAAGATTTTTCTGTTGCCTTTTTTGCACCCGTCTGTTGTCATGTGTCAATAATGTTCAACAAGATTCCACATTTTTTTTAATTCTTGAAATTGTTTTCTCTATTAAAATTGGTGCAAAAATACAAAATATTATGAGTTTATGTTAAATAGTTATGAACTATAGAATTGTTAGTGATACTGCGGTCAGAAAAAAAATAATTTTTTGGTTGCTTTGTTTGCACATACAAATGATGAGGGTGTCAAACAAGATTAAGCATTTTTTTTTTCTTGAAATTTGTTCTTCATTTAGTTTGGTGTAAAAATACAAAATATGAGTTTATATTAAATATTTGTGAAGCTATGGGATTTGTGTTGGCCCATATTACTGCCAGAAAATGATTTTTCTGTTGCCTTTTTTGCACCAGTCTCTAGCCACTAATGATGGTGTTGTGCACAATTACACTGGTTTTTTTCCACAACTGACTACAATTGTACTATAAAGAACCTGTAGCTGGTTGGGTGTTATGAAGAGAAATAAATGTGAAAACATGAAGACAGCTGGGAAATTTGATTGGAAAAGAGTAAGGGGAAGACCTCAGAAAAAAAAGTTAATACCTGAAAAGTTGGGCTACATTACGTCAACAGAACAAGAACAAAAACCTGATCCAAATGTTTATGTATGGTTGAGATTGAAAACCATGACTGCCTGTGCTTATCAGGGAACGTGATGATAATGTTGCCTTAAATGTTCATTTTTAGGTAAGCCTTATTGTGTAAGGCTATACCGCTATAATGTTTTCATGTAGCTTAATTACTTATTTTTAAATTGAACCCTGTCACCCCGAAATTGCTAACAAAATATTGTAGGAACCCATGGAAATTCCTGGAAAAAAATCCCTTAAAAAGAAACAATCATTTGACACATTTATTCATTGATCTATATTGTTCTAATTTTTTGTGACATATTCTAAGGGAGTTATCATAGATATTAGGTGACTCATAACTTGACCCCTTGACCTCATCAGAATTCCAACACTAAGGCTATAGAAAGAATTCCAGAGAAATTTGACAAAAAATCTCAACAAAATGGGGAAGCAGAAAAACGGGCACAAAACAACACAACGTAACGTTTTGACCAGGCGGCCTTTTTTAAACATAAGTCAACTAATATTATTAAAAAGTACCCACGTAACCTTGTGTGGCGAAATAAACAAAGCGAAACACAGAGGCGCGGAAACTAAACCAAACATGTACGATGACAAACAAAATCATGGGTCAGGCGCAGTCGATGTGAAAATCCAAAAATAGTGAAAATATGGGGGTGACTGCAGTCAAGCTAATACAAGGAATTCCAGAGAAATTTGACTAAAAAGCTCAACAAAATGGGGAAGCAGAAAAACGGGCACAAAACAACACAACGTAACCTTTCGACCGGGCAGCCTTTTTCAAACATAAGTTGAGAAATTTGGCTAAGAAGCTCAACAATATGTTTGAAAAAGGCCGCCCAGTCGAAACGTTACGTTGTGTTGTTTTGTGTCCATTTTTCTGCTTCCCCATTTTGTTGAGCTTTTTAGTCAAATTTCTCTGGAATTCCTTGTATTAGCTTAACTGCAGTCACCCCCATATTTTCACTAAGGATATAGGCATATTATGATGACAGAAGGGATTTTAAAGAGCCAGTATGTATGCAACCCCCCCCCCCCCCCATGCTAATTTTAGTAGATATATTTATATCCGGGCCTTGTGAATACTGCACGGGTGCAGATAGATCCAAATACCATTAACAAGGCTTCTTGGAGACAGGCACACTGCAGCCTTGTCAGGCAAATGGCATTTGTTGGTTTGAGTCGCAGACAAGAATACTAGGTTCTCTGCTTCTCGAGGCAAAAGGTTTAATTTTTATTCAGAGAAACATCAAAATTTATAGATAAAGCCATATGCAACTTTGTATAGGTAACTTATTATGGAAAGGATTAAGAATTATATTCAGTCATGTTTAGTTGAGCTGAACTAAGTCTATAAGACTTTTATCATTTACAATTGTTGTGCATACTTCAATGAATAGGTCAGCCCACTTGGTGTCTGCCTATCGTCCTAGATGTCCTATACTTGCTGTAACTAGAAATGCACAGATTGCCAGACAAGCCCATTTGTATCGGGGTTTATTTCCAATTTATTATACTGGTATGTATTCCTTTTTATGTTCTAATACTTTCTCTCTTTTTTTTTGCAGTAACTTAAATTCTGTCTACATGTGTTGTCTGTAAGTTCCTAATTAAGAAATATGTCCTTATTTTGCTCCTTTTCGGACTTGCATTAATTGTAATTATAAAAGAAAAAGTGAAATTTGTACGCAGCCATATGCTTTTTTCGGAAAAGGAAACACATTTGACCAGTTTTTATCACCAGTAAAATGTGAAAATCAAAATATTCAGCTCTTAATAAAAAATCTATAATCTTGCATGGATCAGAAACACTGAGAACATTGCAGCCAATTGTCTTGACTAATAAATAACAAACATTGATTACCAGGCGCTTTCACAGAATAGGTGTACCGATCCTATGTCATAATACAGACAGAGAAAGACAACCTGAGATGGTTCTTGACAGCCTTTTGTAATGGCATACCAGGATGGGCTGTGCTGGGAAAGTAGAGACGGCTGGCGTAATGCTGACCACATTACCCACCGAGTGCCGATTGGTCTGTAAAAATATGAGTGCTCTTCCCATATGCCCGATGCACCTAAGGGCGTGTAAAGGGATCTTTACTTTACTTTACTTTATAGTAGGACAGGACATTAAGAGGCATACGATTGACTTCATTCACCATCCTTGAAAACCTTGATTTTGCAGATGATATAGCACTCCTATCACATAAACATGAACATTTACAAGAGAAAAGTAACAGACTACACTGCACAGCAGAAATGGTGGGACTGAGAATAAATACAAAGAAAACTAAAATCATGACAAACAGTCCAAACCAACAACCAGTGACCATAAGTAACAAATCACTTGAAAATGTAGAAAATTTCACATATCTTGGCAGTGTGGTGTCCCTACTGGGATGGTCAGAGGAAGACATACAGTCACGCCTGAACAAAGCTAGAGCTGCTTTTGGAAGGATGAGGCAAATCTGGAAATCCAACAATTACTGCAGAGGAACAAAACTCCTACTCTACAAGAGCATCATTTTGCCAGTTCTTTTTTATGGAGCGGAATGCTGGAGAATGACCAAAAAAGGATGCACACAAGCTGTCCACCTTCCACCACACATGTCTGTGTAGAATTATCAAAATTTTCTGGCCAGATACAATCTCAAACACTAAACTACTTCAAGCCACAAACCAAGAAACTTTAGACAGTATGATTACCAAGAAAAGATGGAAATGGCATGGCCACGTTATGAGAAAGACTTCTGATATAACTGCCAAAACAGCTCTCACATGGACACCAGAGGGAAAGAGAAAACAGGGGCGCCCAAAAACAACATGTAGACGAACAATGAAAATTGCACAGGACAGGAAAGCATGGAAAGTCCTCTCTGAAGCCTCATGTGCCACTAGGCATAACGAGAACTGATGATGATGATGATAGTAGGAGCCATACCAGATTATACTTGCTGTTGCAGATTGTCGAGAGGCATGATCTCCCATGCTATTCAGTAAGCTACTTGCTGATGATGATGACTATAAATATATTGATCGGAAGGTCGGGGGTTCGCTCCCTGGCAGAGCCGGACTTTTCTTCAAAATTGACCTCGGCTCCCAGGTCGACCCAGCCTTGAGTGGGTACCGGGTGCAGTACTGGGAAGTAGAGGCGGCCGGCATGATGCTAACCACATCACCAATCTTGTGCCGTTGATCTATAAAATATAGGTCTAGCCCTATATGCCCTAATTGCCTAAAAGCGTGAAAAAGGGTCCTTTACCTTTTTTTACTTTTATAAATAAATTATCATTTGGCATACATAAAATCACTGCTGATCAAGCACATGCAAAATTGCTTTGAATACTAACATCAGACATGTGTCACTCCCAGAAATGTTAGGGCAGCCTGGAGGCTTGTGGTGAATTGTAACAATTATTAATATAATTTATGTTAATAGTAAAAAGGAAGCAGAAACATTAACAGCAACTTGGGGTTGGTTAATATCAAAGATAGAAAGTTAATCCTTTGGAATCATCGAGAAGGGAAAGTTTGGGAAGACTGGGAAAAAAAAAAATCACTGAGAATTTAATTAGACACAAAGATAAGTACTCTGGAAAAAACATAGAAGGAATTTCAAGTGGCAATAAAGAATAGGACGATATAGGATGAATGAGGGTCTGTGCTACACTGGGAGATATGTATTTTTTTTTAAACTTATCTCAAGAGCATGGAGATAAGGGAAAGAAAAAGAAGCAGTGCAGATGGATGGAACCATGCATTTTTGTATCATATAATATAGTCAAGCCTACAGGTTAACACTACTTGAGAGCATGAAAACTTGTGTGAGCTACAAATACAATGCATTTCACAATCAAAGCTGCTCTTGTGTGAACATGTTAGTTAACGTACTGCCATAGATCATCATCTGAGGTATTTGAAATTGACATCTTTAAACCCACACTCTTTGGCTGCCACAAATTGTTTTGAGCATTTATCAAATTACAAAACAGATATTACATGTCAGTGTCCAGATTATTGTTGATGTATTATTAAATTATTCAGCAAGTTAGTTGTTTGCTTACAAGAGAATATCCTACTTTGTCAGATTATGCATTATTTATTCACAGCTAAGGTTATTTTTGATTGCCAGTGGCATGAATTAATTTACATTTATACTTCTTCCTCTTAGACCCCCATGCAATTGCAGTAAATTAGTATAGTAGTTAAGTTTACAAACATTGTCACTGAGCAGGAATCTCTCTGGGTGGGTTTCGGATCAGCCTGGCCATTTTCTCACATAAACCCTCCTTATATGGTTGTTTATTCTTCACTGTCTAAGTTGGCAGCACCTAATTGTTGACTAGCCATCAAAAGGGAATTATAAATTTTGGATAGATGGTTACATAATCTCTGCTGTGGTCAGTTGCTTACCTGCATCTCTGCTTCGTCTTTTACCGTGAACTTTTCTGCCATATATGATGATGATGACAATCCTTCTTCTTCTTCTTCTTTTTCTTCTTCTTCTTCTTCTTCTTCTTCTTCTTCTTCTTCTTCTTCTTCTTCTTCTTCTTCTTCTTTTTCTTCTTCTTCTTCTTCTTTGTGTTCACCAGCTGAAAACTCTGGTGGAAATTTCTTGTTCTTCATCTACTTCTGAACTGCAGTCCTGTTCCAGGAAGGGAATATGATTCTTGATTTAAGTAGTTGCTTTTTGAGGGTTTTTGTTTCCTTTGCAGCAAACATCTATAGGCAGTATCACATCTCCCTTGCTGAGCATCACTGTTTCCCCTGAAGCCAGGCTGACAAGGCCTGGACTGTAGAATCAGTTCTTGTATGTGTGATGATTCTGTGTATATCAAGCATTCTGCTGTGTTCTTTGATGATCTTTCCCAATTGTGTTACTGTTAAGCTTTATCCCAGTCCCTCCCTGTCTTAGTTCAGTGTTATTAGCTTAGTATTTGTATGACAGTCTATTATTAGAACTATTTCTGCCTACTTGAATTAAACAAACTCAACTTAAAGATGTGAAATATATGATATTTCAGTCAGTGTTTTCATAGTTGCAATCTAAAAATGATGAACTGGTGTTTCCTCAAAGGTGATAAAAAGCGCCTAAAAACACTTAAAGACATACTCAGGAAAAGAAAAGAGAACTTGTTGTCATGCCTGATGTGTGGCGAAGATGATCTTTAAATAAACGATAAACAGTGATGATAAGCATCATTTTTCTTACTGTTGCAGTGTTTTTTGCTCTTGTAAGAAGCTGTTATAAAAGTATTGTCTGTGTCATATGTTGTCATCTACTTCTTTTTCATTTGTACTGTTGCAGTGTGCAGGTTTCTGTTGTTTTACAGACTGTTTTGAGTTTAGAGCATGTTAGTAACAGTCAGTCTGTTTTTCAAGTTTTTATTATTCTGAATAAGTGTTCAGCTGCTCATTTCAAAGCTTTTGTTTCAGCTTTGAATTCTTACTTAAACAGCATATACTGATTGAAATAGAAGATGCAGTTATTTAATTTGTTTGAAAGCCAGTTTCTTCATTTCACTTAGTTATCTGAATAGTCCAGCCATCAGTGTAAGCATGTGCTTGATTAGGTAGTTGATAAACACTTTCTCTTTATATTGTACATTTCATAGATACTGTGAAATGATTGGTCATGTCGGAGTTGCTTTGTACTTTAGCAGTTATGGGATAAGTTTAATGGTACCATTACTTGACTTTTACTAACTGCTCAAACCCACCGTGATTATTCATTATTTTCTACGATTGTCAGCCAAACAGTATTTTTCTTTGTTTTAAAATATATTTGTTTTATGAAGCATTAACTCATAATGTACAAATCATTTGTTGGTTACCTTTTACATAGTGCTTTTTCCTTAACTAAAGGTGCCCTGTTTGGTTGTTATATTTCCCACCCTAACTCAGCTGTTACCTAAACTTCTGTCTCATGTTGTTATAATTTGTAATGTCCTCAGAACTAAATAGTTATAAGTTTACAGAAACAATGGTTGAGGATTGAATGAGTTTGAATAATACCTGTCTGGTACTGAAAGAGTCAAAAAGTATATTTATCAACTGCCTCTGTTCTTTATGGGGAAGAGGGAGCTCCTAAGCTGGTAAATAAACATATTCAACAATTGAAGGATAACTTTTAGTATTTCCATAGATAGTGTGTTTAAGGAGACAAGCACCTTATGGTTTGCCAGATCAAATTGTGTGTGTTTTGCTGACTAAGGACACTTTGTATGGCTACAGCATTCACTTGAAGTATCCAGTGTATCTGTCTCAGTTTGTGACTGAAAACACTGGCATAGTCGGTTGAGCAATTATGGGCCAAGCTCGTTTGCTGTGATGCTGGAACCGTAACGACTAACTAACTAAGTGCGTTTAAATATTGTTGTAAAGTGTGGACCTTAACAGCTGAACTTAAAAAGAAGATACAAACATTGGAAATGAGATCTTTCAAAATAAATTCCTGGCATATCAGACAGAGATCACATTAGGAATGACAAAGAATGGCAACTATGAACCTCTTTTAAATACAGTGAAAAGACAGAAAATGCAGTGGTACGAACATGTAATAAGATCTAATAGCCTCTCAAAAACAGTACTGCAGGGCTCACTAGACATGAAGAGGAGCAGTGCTAGATGATGATGATGATGATATTTGTGTTTCAATATAATGTGTTTATCATCATGTTTGTACAATATACTGTTTTCAGTTGGTACCAAGATAAGCGAGGTTTATTCTTGAAATGTAGGAACTTAATTAAATTATGCCATTGATTTCATGATGGTGAGTATAACAGAGTGTTCAGTAGATTATGTAAAAGCGTACAGATAAAATATCCAGTATGTATTTTTTTTTGGTGCTCTGCATGCCGTTTGTATACTGCTTCAGGTCAAGGTGGAAGACCAGATGATATCACTAAACCAGTGTTTCCAACAAATGATGTGGTCAATCCTGCAGATATACCGTTTTACTGGGAGTCAGAAATGGATCAGCTGTTAACATTTGCACTGAATAAAGCTCTTTACTTTAAGATTGCTGCACCAAAAGACCCCATTATTTTAGTTACAGGCTGGAAACATGGAGCTGGTTTTGCTAACACTGTACGACTTGTACATTGCCCAGAAATTAAAAATGTGTCTTTAGGCCATAGTCATATTCCTAAGTTAGCCTTTTACATTGGTGAGGATTAAAATCACAAAGATCTTTATTTTACTACTTGTTATAAAATCAGTACATTAAAGTGGGAAACTATTATTAATTAATTAATTTTAGTTTGATATTTGTAACATTTGATATTTTTACATCAGTCAACTTATTTAACAGGATTACATGTTAGAATATTTTTTATTATTTTTTAAACTCCTTATCATCAACCAGTTAAAATATATTACTGGTTTTTACATCACTTGTGTATTCATTTAGCTTTTTTACACGCTTATTTTAGAGTAAATTATTCATTTGAAATGACAATTACCCTATGAACAATCAACATTTGTTTGACAATTCATCTTTGCAATAAGTGGGAGCTGTGTTAGCACAGTCGATAGGAGACTTGCTTTTAAATCCAGCTGCGACTCGCTGCAGCCCACAGCCAATGTTTGAAACCAGGTGATTCCGGGGGTTCACCCAGCCTCTAGGAAATGGGTCTATAGTTAACACACTGGGGTAAATGGAGGAACCTCGCTGCAGCTTACAGAGTTGCATGCGGATGGCGACACAGGAAGACAGTTTCTTATCAGCTGTCCGTACTGGTGGCAGAGCACTTATGGGTTTAAAACCGTGTGTAGTGATGCTGGTTCATATTTTCCCCCTTTTTACCTTTACTTTAAGTGGGTGTTTATTCTGCTGCTTCTTCTCACATCAAGTCCTCCTAACTCATGTCATCAGCTCCTTCCATCATCATGTCCTTTACAGAAAATTATTCCTATCACAGTTTGCTTGAAAGAAACACGGGCCCTAACCAGCCCTCATGTTTCATGCACTTTTCCTGTCCAAAAGGTCTCTCATGTTTTTCATGCTTTTCAGCCACTGCCTTTCTTTCTTGGCACCATGTTCTTCATGGCTGTTCTTTCCAAGCCATTGCAACATTTTTCTTTGCTAAAGTTTTCAGTTTCTGAGACATAATTCTGTTTATGAGCCAATTTTTCTTGATGTTGAGATTTTTCTGTAGAATCTCATTTCAAAAGCCCCCAATTTTCTGACCTAATGATTGTTAGGTAGTCCACAACTCACCGCAACCATTTGTTGCATTCTGTCAAAAATGTGACCTACTGATGTTTAGCCAAGGCTTTTAAAAGCTGTTTAATGTGTGCATTGCTATAGCCATTCTCCTTGTAACTTCTTTTGAACTGTCACAATTGCTCTTTATTGTGGAGCCTAGATATTTAAAGTCTGTTCAGTTTCTTTATCCTTGATTGTTATTCTTGAATGACGTCATGAAGTAACAAAAGACAAGACTTCTTGAAGAAGTGTTATAATTTAAGTGAAAGATCATTAGCTTTATTATTTCAGTAATGGCGTGAGACTACAGATGTCTTCTTCTCTCAAAGTCCATACCATGTGGCTTTGGAAGTCATGTCTATCTACAACCTTCTGTCTCATGTACTTTTAATCAACTCTGACACAGATGATCCTACATGCCATGATGTCAGACTGTCCAGCATCTGTTTTGTCAGTTTCCCTCAGCTTCTCCTTCCCTCCAAAATTCCTACTGCCACATTGTACTCCAGTGTTCTCCTTCTCATCATATGACAAAAGAATGTAGATTGCTCTTTCTGATGTGGGCATTGGTTCTCTTCATGAGTCAGTTTCTTTGAAGACATTTTCATTACTCTTTTTAGACTACTGATGCAGCTCAAGAATATAATCCAATATAAGAGATTGTCCCAGCATACTACTGCAAGTGCAGAAAGCAATTTCTGTTGTGGAAACCATTACAGTATACAATATGGACACCTGGAAAATCTAGTCATGGGCCCTCCCACAATTTAGGAAACCCCCAACTGTCTTTAGCAGTAAAGATGAGCATTCTTGCAGATTCACAGTATGCAGTCCTTCTAAACATCACAAACGATACCGCAGAGACTAAACTGTCACTACTGTCCCTATTTACGGCTTTTTAGTGGGGTGTAGACAAGGGGGTTGTGAGCCTGTGGATTTAGGGCCGCATGGCTAGTGCTGCTGCCATGGACTGTGCAGGTTAGGATGTTTATTTTTGCCCCTAACAGAAAAACTGCATCACGTTTCTGGGGGTCCAACCCGGGTCTCTGGCATGAGTGCCCGACATTTTAGCTGGACTGTGATGAAAATAAAATAGGGAACAAATAACAAAGTCAGGCCTACAAACAGAGTGACTTTCCTTCCTATTTATGCCCCTTTGTGATGCAGGGCATCTTTTATGTTGCAGAGGTGCCAGGTATTCCTTATTGTCAGTGCTTTAAAACCTCCCTCTTTCCTCATTTTGTCACCGCCCACTTGCATTATTATTTACACGTTTTGTGACATATAAAACCTTCAGGAATACGGAAACTGTTATGCTTTTCTATGCCTACGTGTCATGTCAGTGCGTTCTCTGTCTCGGGGGTAGGGGGGGGGGGCATCACCAATGGATGTAGAAATACAAAAACATTCAAGTTTTGATACTCACGAATTTTGATACTCACATGCCTGTTGTAATTCCTCCTTCAGTACTTCTTACTTGTACACAGGCACCTCAGATAGACTCATGACAACACAACCTCCCACAAAAAATATATACACTGACCGAATGCTGAAGCAAACACTCTTGCAACATAGAAGATGCCCTCTTTTGTGGGCCTAACTTTGTTACTTGTAATTTAAATAGTAATGTCTGACAAATGTGTAATGGATAGCAAAACCAACACTTTGGTTCTTTGGCTCAAACAGGTTAAGTTGGAGAATCAGTACACCTTAGATGTCCATTTATTATTGAATGTCTAGAAGGTTGATGAGTCTTTTTCAAGAGTCTAGTGTGATGAAGATGTGGTGTATTTCTTTAATTTTTAATTAGAAATAATGATTGATCAGGTGGACAGACCAAACTATCACATACATAAACACTAAATATTTAGCATTATGTGTCAACAGCTGTGATATTAAAGGAATATTTATATACTTATGACTGACTTAAATATTTATTATAATTTTTATAATTAAAAAAAGACCAGTTTTGTTAGTATTATGTTAGCTTTTTTATTTTTTTGGGGTATGATTTGCCCACCATTTTTTTTTTTTTTTTTTAAATTTTAAAATAGTACATATGAAATTGGTTTATGAACTCCTTTCTTTTTACTCGACTGATAAGCATTATTTAGCAACATTTACAGTTAAAGTACTAGTTACTTTTAGACATGGTGTAGAATTGTCTGGCATTTCAGTCAGCTGTATAAGGGTCATGTATCTACTTTCTATAGTATTCTGCTTACCAGTGCCTTGTCTTCCAAACCAACCGAGAGGCTGATCAGACTTGAGAAATTGATCCATTTGAGTGGCACTTACGAGTCCCTAAGGACCTCTGGACCTTGCATGCATGAATCCCAAAAGATTTAGTTTACATCATCATCATCATCATCATCAGGTACCTTGCCGACTGGTGTGGGCGATCATGCCTCTCCATAATCAGCGATCTCCTGCAGCATGTATCAGTTTGTGTGCCGACACCTCTATGCCATGCAACAAGACTGTCAAGCATCTTATCTCGTTGTCTTCCTCTATCCCTCCTTCCACAGATCTTTCCAGTGGTCACACCATGTTCTATTTTCCCTCTTCTCATAACATGGCCAAAAAATGATGACAGTCTCCTTCTGATGTCTGTGATAAGTTGTCTTTGGGCTTCCACCTCTTTCAAAACCTCTTGGTTGCTCTTTTTGGCTGTCCAAGGTATTCTAAGCATTCTTCTGTAAAACCACATCTCTGAGGCCTCTAGAAATTGTTTGGCCTGCCTACCGATTGTCCAGGATTCACAGCCATATGTTAAAACTGGATGTATGTAGCAAGCAAGAATTATTTTTCTAACTCTCAATGACAAGGATGCACAAGATGTTTTACATTTTATAAAATGCAGTTTTTTGCCTTTTCTGTTTCTTATCTCAGTTATGCATCTTCCATCTGATGTTATCCATGTGCCCAGATACTTAAATTTCTGTACTTGTCCTAAAATAACACCATCGACTTTTATTACACATTTAGGAATAATTTGTTTCTTTGATACCACCATTACTTCTGTCTTCCCATTTTTCAAACTGAGGCCCATTCTTCCACTTTCTAATTCCACAATGTCTAACATTTCCTGTTGTTCTTTCTGACTTGTTGCTATCAAGACTGTGTCATCAGCATAACGTAAATTGTTTATTTTATGCCCACCGACCACAATTCCGGGCATATCAATTAAAGATCTCATTATATATTTACTGTATATTGAAAACAAATCAGGTGACAGTACACATACTTGCCGTACACCCCTCTTTATGCTTTAAAATGTACCTAAACAGTTGTTAATTCTTATAGCTGCTGTTTGCTGCCAATACATATTCTTTATTATTTATTAGTTTACAGTAGAACTCAAACCCTTCAGAACATGAGGCAAGCAGTTTAACCACATCACCATGAAGACCTCATAAGTCATTAATTTGCAAATAGTACATGTAAATTAGCAAAACAAGATAAAAGAAAATGATTACAAAGAACATCGGACAGTGGCACCAATTGAAGGAACTTAATACCTTGAGATGAACACATACAACAGGCATTTACTAGGGAATCTAATAACTTTTTTGTGTCCTACTTTATGCTACCAGTATCAGACTTGGGCTCTTACTACAACAGATAAGAACAAGACCATATTACAAAGATTAGGTGTCTCAGAAGAGCTACCTGAGTAACAAGGAGAGATTAAACTAAAAACAAAGACATTAGAATAAGAATAGGACTGAAACCCTATACAGTTCAATAAAGAGCAACAAATGAGATAGTTTTGCAATCTGAAAAAAAATGCCCTGAAACTAACTGTCACAGTGGCCCTGCTGAAGAAATTTAATGAACACAGAGCAAAGGAAGACCAAAAATAAATACAGAATGACAGCATCAAGAACAGCTCCAGAGAAATTAGCTTATTCATTGTGTTAGAAAGAGCACACAGAGGATCCTTACATCTTCCCCTTCAGTGGAGTAA